TTGATTGACAGCTGTCACATGCAATGATCATCATCTATGCATGCGCCCGCAGGGAGTGGATAATACGTTGAAGTCCTGGGTACTATTGTGCAACTTTTCCATTTAGCTACGAAAAATGACATAAAAAAGACATAGGAATACCGAAAAAGTAAAAAAAAAAAAAAAATCATGCAAGAGTAGAGCGCAATTGCTTAATCCATGAAACAGTAATAAAACTAAATAGTGGAAATTGGTGAAAACCCCTTTGTTTTTTAATGCTTTATTAGTGCTATTTAACCCTGAATAGCTAGTACTGTTTCACGGATAAGCGGTGTTTGAGCTCTACACGGCTATTTCAAAAAGGCTTGTTGGAGCTAAAGGAGAAAGGCGATAGGAGATCAAAGATCGTGCCGTGGGAGATAGCGAGAATAGCTAGGTCTAGGTCTAGAGTGTTTCTTATTATTATTATTCCCCTCAAAAACACAAGGTTAGTTTTAATTCAGATATTTAGTACGAATAATTCGATCATTCACTGTTAAATATAAATCAATCTTTTCGGTGCTGAAATGACCTATCCCCTATTACCTCTACATATATATCTCTTTTGCTCTGACAACCTTTTTTTGAATACATGTATCTTGAAATCAAGGGAGTTGCTTCTGGCAGACAAATGGTAGTTTCCACTCGTCACTGTCTGGTACGTTGTCAAAAGACTTCATGACAGCATTAACTATTCCTATTGGTCCAGTTGGCTGGATTACATTCCAGAGAGAGGATTGAACTGCTTCTCCATTCGCCCACTTCCATGCGCCAACAGCATTCTGGCAAATAACAAGGAATTATTGCAGAAGGCTGTGGAATATGTCATGATCAAGAGAATATGAAGTAAGCTTACTTAATATTCTCTTGGTCATGATTTAATTCCCAATGACAACCAATTTTTTTATTTTTTATTTTTTATTTTTTTTTACTTACTTACTTACTTACTTACTTACTTACTTACTTACTTACTTACTTACTTACTTACTTACTTACTTACTTACTTACTTACTTATTTACTTACTTACTTACTTACTTACTTACTTACTTACTTACTTACTTACTTACTTACTTACTTACTTNACTTACTTACTTACTTACTTACTTCTCCAAACGATTCAGGATTATTTTTGAAATACTTGTTGATAAAGGCTAATGTCTTCATCCTTATCTTACCTGACTCAATCCCACCAGAATGTGTTCGTCTGTGACGTTCTTCCTTTGCAGGTAGTCTTGAAGGAAAGTTAGCTTAGCCACTGAGTTGAAAACTCCAAGAATCGAGCCTTCGAGAACGCATGCTTGAGCAGCATTCGCCTTGCGAACCTTGGTGTCAAGAAAGAACTTGTAACAAGCTTGGTCATTCTGATGCCAGTTTTTATCATTGCAATTATCTGGGACAAGAAGAACAAGGAAAAAGTATCATTGTACTTGTTATTTCTATGACATTAATTTAATATCAATGTTTCTTGGAAGGCGGAACATCAAGAAGGCTGTAGTTTCCTACCTGTTTCTTTGTAACAGTAGACATTGTATCTTGAATGCCATTTATCTTCTGGGGTTGTCTCTTCCTTAATACCTGGACTTGACCCGCATCCAGGCACTGGATGTAGAATTGGAAATCTTGCCTTGCCGTCTATCAGCCAACCATAACTGTAGAACAGAATATACCATGTCAAAATTAAATAAAAAGAAATAAAGATCAACGATCAAAATTTGTTCTATATGTGCTCCCTGTTCAGTAGTCAGGTGGTAATGACTTAGACGCTCTATATACCTCCTCTTCTCTTTTTACTTGAATGTGAATGTTTTCACTAAGAGGATAACTTGAAATTAATTGCCGGCAAAGATTTTATAAATTTTTTCATTTGAAACCCACTTCCGATACAAATGTTGTACTATAGTAAAGTAAAGTCAGAATAGAGGTATTCATAATTGAAACCTTGCAGACAAAAATGTCTATATATATATATTTCGAAAACACTATACTTTTCACCTGCACAAACTGAATCCAGCTCTGAATCCATCTTCCAACTGCTTCAAGCTTGACATCTGAGCACCTTTAACAGCACAAGCTCTTTCTGCTTCGTAATAGTTCATGCTGTAGACCTTTTTAGTGATTTCCAAGTGGAAAACGTTGTGAAACACCCCTGATGTTTTAATCACAGAATGATCTGGGGAGAAATGTTCAAGCAATAATAACATTACATCTTTCTTCTTCCTTTTTCGTTCTTCTTTTTTTCGTTTTTTTTTTTTTTTTTTTTNCCCTTCTTAATAATTTGAACCTTTTGTATCAGGTTAATTAGTACAAACACACCAACATCGGGCCGTGAACACTTCGAGTTTTTTAGTGTTATTTATCCTTCAACTTTCTAAGCTGTTTCGAAAGCTCCATAATGAAGCATTAAGTTTAAATCAAAATACTGATAGAATGGTCAAAATCAGTAAAGCCAATTGATTGACTCAAGGGATGATTTAGAGTGTGCATTTTTTTAAAGAAAAAAACTCGAAGTATATTCACGGTTCGAGTGTTCTCATCCTTCTCTTAAAATAGCAGTGTATAACGGTAGTTGGTATTTTAAGTTGCTATGTTTTATGAGCAAATCGATCGATCTCTCGTTTGCATATAAATGACAAAAGCCTATGTCACAGCAATTAGTGCTATTCTACTTACCCACAGAGCAGTGGTTGTCAAGATACGGGAGATATGGTATCTGTGTCGAGCAGTTACAATGATACGTGCCTTCATTCATGTTGGGGATACAAGTTCCTCCATTCAAACAAGAACTCGAGAAACACGGTTCCTAATGGAAAAAATGAAGAGCCGAAAAATGCAATATTTCTTGGAATGCCACGATTACAGATTGGTTAGTCCTATAATTAGTCCAAGTTGTAAAAGCGTGCCGTAAATATATTTTGAGTGAAATTACTAAAGGTTCCGTGAAAATGGCGCGGAAAGCTAGAATCACCTGTCGACGTCTCGTCTGGATTCAATTGTTAGATCTCTTAACAGTTTTAAATCCGCGAATGATTAAAGTTACGCGAACGACTTCGAAATCATTCATATATATGTTTATATTTGACAGAAGTTATATCAGTACTTATTTTTCATAATGTCTAAGTAAACTGATTCTGCAACTTAGTAAATGATAGATCTCAGTGAGTTCATTGTCAACTTAACGTTTTATCATCTTTTATCATCTTTAAACATAAAAGTTAAAATTTGTTTATGGTAGCTAACAGATTAGCCTCAATGAGCCAAGTTACGCAGTTTAAACATTTGTTTTGGATTCATTAACTTTAGCCGTTGTTTCGGTATACTATTCACAAAATTGTAACTTTTAAATTGTAAACAAAAAAGAAAATGAAAAAATGAAAAAAAAAAAAGAAGAAAAAGAAGAAAAAGAAGAAGAATAAACTGATTGGATTTGTGTTTTTAATATGTTTCCACATTTTTTAGACCGACATGTTAAATTGAAATGGGAAGGGACGAGTTGTCCTCTATTTTATCTCAACTGCAGGTGCAAAGCTCCCTTCTCCTTTGATCTTCGAATTCGTTTTACTTAATGATAGTCGGTTACCTATACAAAGAGTACTTACAGAACTAGAGTACTTACAGTACTAGAGTACTTATGTTACCTCTACAAAAGTACTTACAGCCAGACCATAGAAGTCGAAACCTTCTCGTTTTTTCAAACTGAGTGGTTTTAACAAAGACGTCGAGTTGTTCAGTTCACAGTCCAAAGTCGTTTGGTTTGGTTTCTTGCCGACGTTGATGGACAAACAGGATGTGTGGTCTAAACACATCAGTTGACAGGACGAGACATCGGTCACACTGGAGTGCACTGTTATGGAACTATCGGTGAGAACTGTACCAGGTTTGTGGAAGAAGTTCATGAACTTGAATCCAAGCTGGTCCCTGGATACTGCTTTGAATTCAGCATTCACTGATAGTAACTGAATGACTCTCAGAAAACACCCAAATACTACACAAGTCCACTTCTTTTCTTCCATTCTTCAAATGCTTCCGTTATTAACTGAAGTGAGAAGTATATTATTTCAGTACTGAAAAACTAAATCATGCACTTGATAAACTTTTTTTCGGTCCCCGATTTTTCGATAGTCAAGTTCAGTATCTAGTTACGCTGTTTCTGACCGATTATTTCCAAACAGCTGCTGCCAGTCTTCTTCAGCGCGGCATCCTAAAATTCGTGCGTTCGGATTGGCTGCGTGGTCCGATATCCTGGGATAACGGTTTCTAAACAACACAACAAAAATGCAAAACAAGATCAAAAGTAAATGGCAAAAAATAAATGTTATTTCCTTATCCGCACCTCCTGAGCAGTTATTAACCTGTATGTATTAACCAGATATGTATTAACGGGTATGTTTCTATAAGCCCGGCAGCCTTGATATGATTGCAATTTTATCAACTCCCAGCAGTGATCCGAAACCGACTGCAAAAACTAATATGTTTAATCACTGTGTTATAAAACTCCCCTATCTTTATTCAAAAGTTTCAAGAGCCTTTTGTTACCTTTGTGATTTTTACCGTGAGCAATTTCTCCAACCTTAATCAATAGAAAACAGAAGTGAAACCTTTGTTTCGGCAAATGTTTATGTAACAAAGCTAGACTTGTGTCTTTTCGTTTAATTCCTCTTACGAATACGCACCCCGACAATCTCAAGCTGAGAGCAATTGTAACTTGTAGCTAAAACGTTTGCTGTTCAATGAATTCTAGTCAGTAAGTATTGAAGTAAATTTTGAACACAATTTATCATTTCTGTTAAAATGGACGAGTTCTTTTGAAAATAGCTCAATCATATTTTGACTTATTTATATGGGACTTGTCCGGGATAAGTTTGCCGATGATATATCGAAACCTAGATCTATAGGTTTTTGGTTGAAAGAGACCCCGAGGAAAGTAAGTGAGAGTGATAAGAATGATAAAAACCAGCATAGTAAAGCATAGCGAACTCGATCGTGCGTTCTAGCTAGGGGATTAGTAATTGGCGGATGCAGGCTCGAATTTGATTGGTTCCTGCTATAGCATAGGGCCCGCGGTTGTTCAAAGCAGGATTAGTGCTAATCCTAGGTTAATAAAACCTACGGATTAATCCTGGATTGGCAAAGACTCAGTAATCGGGTTTTAAACAATGAAACAGGGCCAAAGTGACCAATACAATATCAGTGGAAGTAATTACTAAAAAAGGACCCTTCCGACCTATGACATGCAGTAAAGCAATAACTGGCCGGCTGATAAACATAGACACGAAATTGATAGCTCCTCTATCTCTTTCTTCTCTTTAAATTCGTTAAGCTAGTGAGACGTAGCAACGGTAACTAAGGGAGTCAGTACCATGAATTGAGAAGTTTCATTAAAAGTAATGTTTCAAATACAAGTTGTTGTATTCTATTGGGGTTTCAAAATCCTCGTGGAATTTCAAATACCTCGACATTTGAAATTCCACATCTTATACTCTTTTTGTTATGTTTGTTTTTATTTCAAAGTTCTAGTACTTTGAAATACTCTAAAGTCCGAGTAGTAGAAGAAGTACTAGAACTTTGAAATGGGTGCGGTCGTATTTGATGGGGGTTTTAAACTACTGCACGTGGTACAAATAAAAAACCCTGGTTGGTCAATGAGCTCATGAATAATTAATGAGTATAAGATCGCGAGTTCGAGTGACGGGGACCGAAAGCTCTTCACAGCGGCTGCACAGGAGGCTAGATTTGGCGCCAAAAAATGATAACGCAAAAACAAGTAAATCAAAAACAGTTGCTTTATTGTGAAGAAAAATCAACTTCCAGCAAAACATGGACTATAAAAACACTTGTAACTTGATCATAACTACGGTCAATTCAAAAAACATTGTCCTTGTAGAGCCTCGCTCAGGTCTACTGGATTGGACCGCAAGTTACAAGACGTAATTAAAGGCCTTGAGTTAGTACATTGTGTATCGCTTTTCTTTTGTAAAAAAAAGTTGTATTATTGTACTGTATTAAACCGATTTGGATTCTGACTGTTAGAATAAGTAACAAAATGCAGTAAGGTATTGCTTATTATCAATAAGCTAAATGAACCTAGTCTCATTACGTACCAGTCTACAGTAATACTCACACTGCCCTCCATCAATTATATACATTTTTTCTCTCCATTAATGGTTTAAAAACCTTCCTAATAAACAACCCCAATCTGCATTTTGCTACGTTACTGCTTCCAATCTGAGCCAAAGATTGTCATTGTCCATCAAAACAAATCAGTTAACGTATTTAAACACGATCACGATTTGTCAAGATCTTTAAAACTGTAAAAGGAATTTAGAATTCAAAAACGACTAAGCTAGTTTCTGAAACTAAACTAAAACATCTCCGCTCATGGCGTTTTATTCATGTCTATGTACAATATTTTCTTGGTTCATATTATAACTATACTATATTATCTAATAATTACGCCTCATTGGTGATTATATCACTCTATAAAATAAKTATCCTTGCAGCACAAGACACGTTATTTTGATATTGGTCATATGTACAGTTCGCGTGACGTCACACCAAAGGATACTGACCATATGGACCTTGATCACACAGCGCCATGTTATTCCCATGACAATAAAGACCTTTGTTTTACCCTGCGTAACCTGGTCCCGAAACGACTGAATGCGAGGCCACACGCAGGATATCCATTGTTTCAGTCAACATGGCTGCCGCGTGATAAAGGTCCATGTATGTGTGCTGATGAGGGAAACTTAAAACAATAACTTTTATTTTACGATTGCAAAAGGAAATTTGCATTAACGAATGTAAATGATCCAATGAGAAGGGAGAATACTGCTATTACAAATCACTGCCATAATGACAGTTATATACTTGCACTATGCCGAAGGACACTTGATTCAGGTACATTGCGCATTCAAATGGCGGTGATTGGAGGAAGCCTTCACGACTGGATACACACGACCATGCTCAGTATCTGAAAAACAAATCAGTACAAGGTTGATGTTCCTTGCTCTTATTCTCATGCGATGCAGGATCTGAATAGCCTAATCTATTTCATTTCATTTCATTTCTTTTTTCTTTTCTTTTCTCTTCTTTCTTTTTTCTTTTCTTTTTTTT